CCATACAATTATTAGTGACAGAAGCTGTACGTCTTCTGGTCTTCCCACTTCACTCCGACGGATTAATAATCCACCAGGAAGGCTTCCCTTGCACTTCATTCTGCATTTTCATGAAACGGTTGTGCAATGATAAATTGTGCCTTACCGAATTCTTCCAACCAGCCGAAGACTTACTGTCCGTCTTTTGACTAAAATAAGGCACGTTATATATAATCCATCTATAGATCGGCGCCAGAGTCATGCGACGTTCGGGCAATGAGTATATTGAATCAGTTATTAACTCTGCGTAGCTTCGGTTTCCCAAAGGATTTTTTCGGCTAACATTCATCTGACTCTCGTTCTTCAGCATCTGGAATACTTTGCCGTTGTTATTAGGTTGTTGCTGCATCGGCCACGTATTGCATCTTATCTGGGAATATATTCTTCATGGTTAAAAGCCTCCATTATATTTGAACAACATCCAAATATTTTCACAAATAGACTTAAAAATTGCGAGTGATACGTTTGCAAAAACTGTTCAGCTTCTTATATTTATTTGTACTCCCTTAGAATGTTACGATGTGGAGTGGGGGTAGTACCGAAAGACAAAATTTTGTAAACAACTTAATCACCCTTTTATTGTATTGAATGGTTGTTTTACAATTAACATTTTTTTATTATTCATCTATAAAATATCTTTAGAATAATTTTGTTTTTATATTTCTTTGTCTACTTGTATTTATTTTAAATATTAATACAATAAAATAAAACTACAATATACTACTACTACTATTTCTTTTACAGTAAACACAATTTGAATTTGAATAAAGCTGGTTTTGTTTTGACATTACATATATGTAATTAATTCGTAATTCATTAGTTCGATGTTATTCTAGTAGATTTTCCTTGTCTACATTTCCAGCTTTTAGATCATGCGATATTCCACTATAAAAAGAGATTCAAGTTTTGAAAAGTTTATATTTTAAAACTGAATACTCAATAAACTAAAAAAATAAGTCTTCAAACTAAATAAATACATAGAAAAAATAAATCGCAGAAAAAGATTCTTTATGTATAAGAAAATAATTTTGTGAATGCAAAAGATGTACTTTGCAAAGTATTTCAAAACTAGAAGACGAAAGACTTTTGTTAGTGATAACTGTAAGAATGAAAAATTTAAAGTGAAAATGCAGATCTTTTTTTATACAAAATAACCCTTCCTATTTTGCATGAAAAACGTTAGAAAGTTAGTATTCTCTTATTAAAATAGAGTTTATCAGCAATAATGAAATAATAGTAAATCGCAATATAATTTAAATTACATGAAGAAACCATTTAACGTCAGCATTTCTGGAATTCACGCGACCAGGAAAATGTGATTTTAATAAATCTTATCTTTAAAATCTCAAAATTATGAACATAATCCGTTCAAATACGACGTTAATAAGCGCTTTCATCTTTATATCACTACTAGTGTAGAATTTTTTAACCAATTTGTCATTGAAAAAATGAAACAAGAACGATAATCGCTTGACCACATTATTGTTGTAGTTGAATATTTATGATTTATTTTTATTTTTCATTACACTTTGGCCAAACAAAACAAAATAATATGAATTGAAAACTATAAAACCTAAAAAAAAATATATAAATATTGAAAGACGATTTATCAAACGATTGTATATTATATTTAGTGTTTGTTTAGGCAATTTGATGGAAACCTATATTTGATTTATATTTTAGACTCACTATATTTAGTTTCACTATATTATATAGAAATTAATTATTTTTCTGTACTAATATAGACCATTATCACATTTAAATTCTTGAAAGATATTTTTGTAATTCAAATATTTCAAAAAATAAATATTTCTTTTCGTTATTTATTATATTTAAATGTTGTTATAAATATATATAAATATATATGTTGTGGCCATATTTCGTAATAAAAAATATTTTTACATGAAAGGAACAAACATTTAATACAATAGAAAAAAAATAACTAACTTAAAAACAGAGTTGTAAAAAAACATGTATTTAAAATTAAAAAGTGATTAGGATGTTGCCCCTTCCAAACCTAATTCTGTAAAAGGTTTGTAACTAAATATAAAAAGGTGAACGGCTTTTGCAAATATCTCAGTCTAAATAGAAGATTGTTTTTGTGAATATCTCAAGTAGTTCAGAAATAATGGAGACTTTTTGCAAAGAAGAACATATTCCCAGAGCAAGATGCAATACGTGGCCGATACAACAACCTTCAAACTACACCGATGTAGTCCAGAAGCCGAAGAAAGATATGCAGAAATATGGATGCCGGAACAATCCATGGGGAAACCGAAGCTACGCCGAGTTAATAACTGAGGCAATATGTTCATCACCCGAACGTCGGTTGACTCTGGCGCAGATCTACGAATGGATCATCTATAATGTGCCTTATTTTAGCCAAAAGACAGACAGTAAGTTTTCGGCTGGTTGGAAGAATTCGGTAAGACACAATTTATCATTGCACAACCGTTTCATGAAAATGCAGAACGAAGTGCAAGGGAAGCCTTCCTGGTGGATTATTAATCCGTCGGAGCCAAATGGGAAAGACCAGAAGACGTACAGCTTCTGTCACTAATAATTGTATGGGTATGAGACCGAAAGCGAAGTGTAGAATCGATTCAGATCAGATAAACATACAACAAATTAAGAATTTTTTACAATCTCCATATAGTTCTGAAGATATCTCTCACAATTTCTACACAAAGCAAACTCAATTTAATAGTATACCTATTAATGAGAGTTGGCATCATCAAGCAGCGCCGAATACTATTGTTGCACAACACCAAATAACAAATTCGGAAAATATCCATGAGTTTTTTGGTAGTTTTAATATAAACATCCCACAAAACCATAATTATACGATCTTTGATCAAAATCAGATTCAGGCTTTACAAGACATTGAAGAGATTATTAATACCGATCAGAATACCGTCGAACCTAACTGTTACAATAAGACTTTGTGGATGATCTAGAAAAGATATTTAGTTATAGTATTTCTTGTTTAATATATTGTTAATATTTATTTGATACTTTTAAAAGTGAATGTTATGTGTGTATTAATTAAAATAAAATATTAAATTTAAATATGTTTATATTTTCTTTTCTTTTTAATTATCATTCCAGAAATATATTATCATTTTTATCGATAATGATATCTAAGTGTTTTATAATTAATTAAAAATACTTTATTAACTTCTTATATGACCTTAATCGAGACAAGTTTTTTGTACGCCGCATCCACTTAGAAGGATCGATAATGCTGAGATGCGAATGTAGTTTCAAAGACTGTCATAGCCAAGGAGCGAAGGGAATAGACAAAATTGCAGAGCAAGGTGCCGCCAGATGATGGAAGGTATTTGGATAGAAAGCTATACGCCTAAAAAATCTTGAACACGAAAAGGCATATATGTACCAAAGAGTCGCTACCACCAGTCCAGAAACTGTTTTCTTTTCTGTCCTTGTCTTTTTATACATTTATTTCAGTTATATAGATTTTAGATGTGTATTTTAATAATAATATTAATTACAACAATAAAAAGCATAATTTATCATTTCCTTACAATAATAATGAAACAATAAGTCAACTTCTACAAAGAACTATTGACCATAGGTTGGCCGGAAAATAATTATATTTTGTACAAAAAATCATAGAATTTTTTTCTTCATCCATAATGCCTCTCTGTAAATGGTAGATTAAATGAGGTCTGATCCTTGTTGATAATGTTTTGGATGTCTTCCAAAGTCTGCATCTGATTTTGATCAAAGATGATATGAAATTTTTCTTTGCATATTTTTTTTTAACAGTAAACACAATTTGAATTTCAATAAAGCTGGTTTCATTATGACATTACATATATATAATTAATTCGTAATCATTACTTCGATGTTATTCTAGTAGATATTTCTTGTCTACATTTCCAGCTTTTAGATCATGCGATATTCGACTATAAAAAGAGTGTCAAGTTTTTAAAAGTTTATATTTTCAAAACTGAATACTCAATAAACTAGAAAAATAAGTCGTGAAACTAAATACATACATAGAAAAAATAAACCTTACAAAAAGATTCTTTATGTATTAGAAAATAATTTTGTGAATTTATTTTTATTTTACTAAATCAAAAATGCACCACGCAAAATATTTCAAAACTAGAAGACGCGTTAGTGATAACTGTAAAAATGAAAGATTTAAAGTGAAGATGCAGATCTTTTTTTATACAAAATAGCCTTTTCTATATTGTACGAAAAATGTTAGAAAGAAAGTTATCAAAATAGAGTTTATCAGCAATAATGAAAGAATAGTAAATCACAATAAAATTTACATTATATAAAGAAAATGAATATCTTCAAATAGAAGTGTTTTCTTCGTTTATCGAAGTATTTATAATATAAGCTACAAATTATGTGCTGCACATCAAGAAGTTCTTAAACTATTTGAATGGAAAAAGCAAAACGTTCCTGGATTTCCTGGATGACAACGAATTCATAAAACATCTTTCATCAACTCTGCAGGCTAATGAAGCACTCAGGAATACGATGAATGATTTCATGAAGAAAAATGGTTTTAATATAGATGGAATGGCAATAACAATTTGAATTTCTCTTATTTAATATCAATCTTTCAATTTGTTGTGAAAATACGTTTCCCGTCTGAATTTATCAGTTCCAGATGAGATAAACTTCATCCTGTAAACCGTATGTTATCAAATTATTTCTATAGGGTGGCCCATAGGATACTTCGAATTTAATTTTGAAATCAAACACAGTAAATTATTATTTATTTGGAATTTTTTTATTCATTTAAATCGCTTGGCATTAATTCACAAGATCTGGACGGCCAATTAATGTCAGCATTTCTGGAAATCACACGACCAGGAAAATGTGATCTTAACTAATCGATGGTTTCTCTTGCTGTATGTCATGTGGCACCATTCTGTTGAAAACACATTTCTTCGAGGTCGATGTCATCCAATTGATCCCAAAAAAAGTTAGATCATTCTCAAAAAAGAACGGTCCAATTACACCTTTTGCCTATAATCCGCACCAAACAGTGACTTTTTGGGTTCACCGTTTTTCATTAATAACTCCAAGATTTTCATTGCACCAAATTTGATAATTCTGCTTATTAACAAAATCATCCAAATGAGAATTAGCTTCATTGCTTAAGATAATGTTTAAAAAATCCGGCGTACCCTATGGGCTATGTTATTTTATCTGTTTTTATAGTTGTTTTCCGAATGCGAAAAATTGATAAAGGATTGAGAGGAAAAGATGGGTGCTTTAAAAGATATGCAGAAGAACCTGAATAAGGTTGATCTATCTCCACTTCAAGACTCGAAATGGTCTACCTTTTGTAAAAAAAAGTTGTTAGTCTACATAAGTCATCTTGAAGTTTTAAACATAAGAAATAAGATAATGTGGGATAATATTCAAAGAAAAACGGTGAATAAGATTTAAAAAAACATCTTAATGAAAAGGATAAATCGCCTATTTTTGACAGCAGAATTCTTAAATTACCACATTTATTTAATAAGTATAAACTGGATTGTATACTTATAATTCAGAAGAAACAGTAAATATTAATTTATTTTGAGCAGTAGATTTGTTTCATTGAATGTATTTAAGAAGTTTCTGTATCATTTTTTGAAACAACATTTTATCTATAGGCATCAGTCAAACATGTATTTAAGATATATTGCTGTAATAAATAATTTAAAAAAAAAATAAGTTGGCTCATAAATAATCAACAATAAAATATATTTATTTTGTCTATTGTTTTATTACTCAAATAAAATTGTAAAAAGCAAACAAACCAAAAATTCTGTCGATTTGGAGTATGAAAATTGAATAAATTATTTAATATTATTTTTGTTTTAATATCTTAAAATTGTATACCTTTTGGCAATTCAGACACATTCTTATTGTATTATTTGTAGTCAACTAAATAAAGCCATAGTTCAATAAATTATTATATGCTGTTCATTTTCATTACAAAAATAATAAGTATATTTGTTGCTAAGCAACTCAGTTTTGACTATCAACGAGTCCAAGTGAAAAAATTAGTTATTTTATTGAAAAAAAATAAATAATTTTGAAATATGTGCTTTATAAGTTAGAGATAAGAGAAAAAGGTTAGGTAAAAATAGATTTATTCTACAATAAAGTGCAATAAACTTATTCCCCTTATAACTCTCTAGCTTCTTTGTAAATATATTTGAATCAACTATTATTTAATCTATGTATGGATTTATATAAGTGGTATTTCCATTTATGTGATTAAACTGAAATACCATCTATTGCTGTTTACAATTTTCAAAACTCATACTAAATACGCTCTTTAATTAATGTATTGATTATAAATCAGTTCCAACAGAAAAATTATGAATGCTATGGCCATACCACATGCATAAACTAATGCCGCAGGATAACAATCCACAATTCCCACTCCAATAAAACTGCTGCCTCTTGAAAGACATGTAGGTTTCTTTGTGTAAAGCAGCGACACTTCGCGCTCTTGTATTCCGCTTTCATGGATCTTCCGTAAACTAACAGTTATATAATATTAATATGCTATGATATACTTATAATCTTAATAAATAAAATTACCCGATTTTTAGCATTTCCTTGAACGAGGAATTCTTTTGCACCGCCAACCAAGGATCAGGCACTTGCAGAAATTGGATCTCGCTCAGGTCGCATTTTTCGTCCTCCAAGAAAGTTTCTCCAACAATCTTATAACCGGCCCCAGTTTCCACGTGGAAAGCGAACAGACCTTTACGCATCATCTTCACGCCTACGTCTATTTGATAATAATGTGGGGTTTGTCCGGCCGGTGCCACCTTCTGTAAGTACAGAGCTCTTCGAACTGGCTCAGATGCATTCTTAAAATAAACAAAAAAAATGCAAGAAATATCAATCAATAGAATATAATTATAACACAAAATTACTTTAACCATTCGAATAATCAAAATATATAGTTCGTTCTATGTACAGGAATAATCGCATAATAAACACAAAGAAACTATTTAAAAAACGATCTTTTATGTAAAAAAAATGTATAATATTTTTTTTACAATTTAATTTAATTTTGATGAATTAAAATTTAGTTTATTTAAAAAATGTCAAACCTGTATTATCAAAGCCCCACTATGCGAGGTAAAGCACCAAAATAAATCATCAGAACTAATACTGAGCGTTATAATATTTCTAATATTCAATTATAATTCAAATAAATTAAAATTTGTATTTTTGTCATGTGTTTTACACTTTAAAACATTTTAATTTATTTATTGTCAAATTAAATGTATAAGATTTTTTTTTGGTAATTTTCTTTTTTTTTACTAAAAAACTACAATATTATAATAATTTATTACCGGAAAATAAAAGCGATTGAAGACGGTATCATCGACTCCTACTTGTAAACGGGATTTTAGTAAATCATCAAGTGTCTGGATGCTCGTAGAAGACGATTGTAACAATGCCACGATATTCGCCGAATATGATGTGTAGAGAAACATGAGCGAAGTGAAGAGTAGCAGGACAATCATTCGATTGTTTAAGGTAAATGGAACTGCGCTGGCTCCTTGCTGACAAATTGCTCCAAATGCTAAGAACATGACGTCCACGATCGAATCATTTAGTTCTACATCAGATTCGTGGTCCTATAAATTACAACATATTTGTTGTTTCAGTGAAACATATAATATATTAAATATAATTTACGCATATTAATATATCTAAGTAGAAATAAAAGTATTTTGAAGAGATAGTGTAAATACTATTATTAATAATAAACTTTTATAAACTTGTATATAATACAAACTTTCTTTATCAAAATTTATTATTTAATTTCATTCTTTTTTAAATACGTATATATTTATATCTTGCTTTACAAGAGATAAAAAAAAGTTGGATAAAATATTTTTTGCTACGATGAAGTGGAATATACATTTTAAAGATATATTTCTTGAAATGTTAAAAAAATATATATCAAAACGTACAATAATACAGGTACTGTAATAACATTATTTTTAGTATTATACTACATACTAAAAATAATGTTATTACAGTACCTGTATTATTGTACGTCATTGTTATTTATTATACACTTGTTTACAAAGTATTTATGCCAAACAGACGTATTTGTTTTGGTTCTACTTGAACTATTTTTCGTGGAGCCTCATAAAACGACGTGGGCCCTAGGCACTGTGCCTTATGGGTAAAATGGCTCTGTATATAGTATATACAGAGCCATTTTATACTATATACCAATTAAAATAATACTTACAATGACTTCGTAATTTCGGACATTCCTTTTTTTGTACCATTCCCATTTAATTCCTAAATACAATCCCAGTGCTGTGATGATGACTAAAATGATTGATGCTATCCAAACGGAAATATGGAATGGTAACGTAAAAACGTTAGTGATGAAAGACAATTTCGGCTGTCTAAATACGAACTTCGATTTTGTTGGAGTGGTCATAGCGATGTAGTCTATAATCGGTACCCGGTTTGCAGTGACAAATAGAGGAGTACCTGCAATAAAATTACGAAAATAAATATACGTATTTATTGAAATTTTATATTTAGTTGCATCAAATAGTATATATACTTATTTCCGAAAACCGCGGCTCTTTTCATTATTATTACAGCTCATTTCCTATTTTCATTATTATTGTATACGGCTCAATAAATATTTGCTTAACAGATATAATCTTATGAATCACTCTTCGCTACAAAAAGTTTTCCGAACTAATATAATCTGTGAATATTTATTTTTAATTATTATCTATAAATGTTTAGTAGACCTAATTTGGTTAAGTTTGTATAGTTTGGTTAAGTTTGTATTAATTACATGAACTCAAAGCAAGAAAAATAAAAAAATGAATAATAAAAATTGACCAATGTTCTCAAACTATATTCATTATTGTCATACATTAAATACGAAAGATTAAATCAAAATAATTGGATTTTAACACATTACCTCCTATATCCGCTCTGTGAGTTGTCAATTGTCCAATCATTCCGTTCCAATTCGATTTGTTGTCCATGTAACCCCAAGTCGGCTCCACGGAAAAATTCATCGTGGCATTCAAAAAATCGCCCAAATGTAGGATAAATACATAATTTACTTTCGCAATGCTGTCCAAGTGTTTCTCTCTAAAATATTATTAATAAGTTTTACTACAAAATAAATGTTTAAGGTATTTGAAAGTAATTAATCTCATGTTTCCAATATAAAGCATTAATAGCTTGAGTGCAAAAATTGCCAGTAAATTTTAATTGAATGAAATGCAATGTGAAGCAAATAACTATCGATAACTGAATGTATCAATGTTCTTATTTGAAGTGCAAGCGCCAGGTATAAATAAATACAGTAAAATCAGAGGTTTTTCTATAGAGGCACCCACTTATATATGTAATAAAAATTCTAAACAATATGAGTAATATTTTATGAAATCTGCTATATATAATTTTGTATAATAAGACTTAGTACGGTTTCTAAGAACTAGAACTTAAGTTGTTTTTAGTATCATGCTGCACTTTTTTCTCTGGTCACCAGTCGATACTTAATAAAACAATATACAGCAATACCTAGCATAGTGCAGGTAATTCGTTCATCCAATATACCGGGCTGTTTGTACTGATGTAGGACTTTGAAACTACAAAAAGTATTAACGGAAAATTCCATCATTGTTGTATAAAAAATATATTTTTATTTTGTCAATTAAAATTTACCTTTTTTGAATTTTTCAAACCGCACAAGTTTTAAGCAAAAAATTTAAGCCAATATACAAATATTCCAAAGTTGGATGATACAGTACAATCTAATAACTCCAAATGATAGAGTCTCAGTAAAAAAAATTGTGTCTTTCTTTTGAACTGGAAATTGGAAGAACTATTTTGAAGAAAAAAAAGATGACATAACAATCAGCGCCGTAATTATGGTGCAAGACTTGGTTAGTAGCTTAAAAATGTATGCTATATCAACACTAATTCTACAGGCACTTGATATTCGTAATGCGGTAGTAGCGTATTAAGTCGTCAAATTTAATATCATAACTCCCTTCATAGGGTATGTATTGTGTATGTAATGTATTGTTATTAGGAGTGCCATAAGAGGTTTTACCGGCTAATATGATTACAGAAATACCGGTAAATTTTAACAACAAATACCGTAAAATTTCTTAAAAAAATGAACACCTGTCAGAAAGACTTATCGGTAGCCCTTTGCAGCAGATCCATTTATTTTTATTTTCTTATTATGTTATTTTGTTGAGTTTGTAGTATAGTGATTTGTTGCAATAAATCTTATTATTATTATTTAAATTAACATAAAATTTTAGTACATATGAAATGTCGTTAGGTTTAGTGCAAATGTGTTCGAACAATATATTCTGGTGTAAGAAATGACAATTGTTCTTCTGACTCCTCAAGCTATGAAAAATACATTTTTTAATTAATCTTAATCGTATGATCACTTATATATTGTAATCATATACATATTATTGAAATCAAGAAAGATAATTAAATTTATGTTAAACCCAATATTAAAAACCGTCTTACGTAGATCGAAATTATCCCCCTTTTGTCGAGAAGAAATTTTAATCAGACCGATCTTAACAATAAATTGAAGTAGAAAGGAAAAGCTGTAAGTCTTTAATTGTTGTGTATATATTTATAATATATTTCTATGGAAGCTTTCAATTATTTAAAAATATTTTTCTATAAAAAAATACCATATTGTTTATAGACAGTCTATCCGATACGAAAGTGAAAAAAAAGATATTAAAATTAAGTGTACCTTTTATCTAGTAGATGTTGATATGTACTGTTATGAGTAATGACTAAGCAAACACGTAAATACATCTCAAATAGATTTCTTCTTCTATTGGCAGTGATCTCAATGAAGCTTGGTGTTTTGATAAATGTATGATTTCTAAAACGACCAAAATCCTCCACTATCAATTCCTCGCCTTGTCTAAATTTATAAACTTTAGTAAGTTTAGTCTCATTTTCACTGCTATGTTGTATTAGAGTTAAGTCGCTGTCGACTAAACAATTAACTTTTTTGAAATCTTCGAACTTTGCGTTAAAAATGATCCACTTAAGCGGAGATGCGAACAAATCGCGTTGATTAGCATCGAGTAGAATACTCGGAAATTTACTGCAATTTCCATTAGCAATGTAAACCAATTTATTCGTCAATGTAGGATAATACGGCACGTTAATTACATCATTAGTGATCAATACGCTGTGAAAAAAGTTATCCGTTGATATATTTGAAACGAAAAACATATCTAAAACATTTATTTGAAATTGTTAAGTTTCTTTACGTGTATTTATTAATAAATTACCATTAAGATTGCACGACATGTAGACTACACTGAAATATTCTGAGTCATTGTAATTGTTTAGAAGACTCTGGAATAATTCCTTATTCGCATTAGAAATGTCTACAATGGCTACCACCAAAAGTACAATGAAATGCATGGTTTCAAATTGATGCAATTCAGGATATTACGCAACGCTTTTATAACCTAATTTTAATAGATTTCCTATTTTCTAATTATATAAATCTATATGAACAAAGCTTTTACGAATAATCTATTTGCGATGTAATTTTGAAAATTACACTGCAAATAAGAAAATTTAAATTGCAGTCTCTGACAGTGCATTTGACATATCCAGCGTTTGACAATTTTTTGACAGGTGTGAGTATTATTTTTCTGTGTACTTTAATTTTAAGTAAACTAAAGCTATTTTTTTTCAAAATCGCGTGTAATTAGCGTGTTTTAAGTGGAATTGAGGATGTCGAACGTAATCGATACGTTGGTTGAAATGGGGTTTTCCCGGCGTAGGGCGTAAGTGAACAACAAATGCAAATTTTCTTTGCAACTTATAACAAATGATTTTTCAGAGAATTGGCTGTTGAGAAAACTAAAAGCAATAGTATCACAGAAGTTACTGAATGGTTATTAACTAATGAGGAAACAGAGCAACCTCAAGTTGAACTTGAGCCAGCTCCGTTAGTGAATGAAGTAATTGAAAACCTGCACGGTGCTGCTACAAGCTCAGAGGAAACTGCCACAGCAAAATCTCTGAAGTGTGATGATTGTGGTAAATTATTTAAGAATCAAACAGAGGTTGAGTTCCATGCAGCGAAATCTGGTATGTGTTGTCAAAATGTATATGAATTTCTTGTTTTGATTGAGATGTTTCAGGACATGATAACTTCTCAGAATCGACTGAGGAAAAGAAACCATTGACTGAGGATGAAAAGAAAGAACAACTTGCTAAAATAGAAGCTAAGTTGAGACAAAGAAGATTGGAGAGGGAGGAAAAGGAGAAACTGGAAGCGTTGGAGAGAGAGAAGAAGAGGATTAGGTCTGGTAAGGAGATGCTTGAGGCAAAAAAGAAACATGAAGATCTTGAAATAAAGAAAATTGTTGAGCAAAGGAAGCGGGAAAAGGAGGAGGAGCGCATTGCTAAGCAGAGGGTTATGAAGCAGATTGAGCAGGACAAGTTAGCCAGGAAAGCTAAGTTTTCAAATAGTCCGACGACTGTTGAAGTGGAAAATAAGGCGCCAACGACTTCAGTTCCGAAACCCGTCGCCCATAACTACACCGAAGTTAAGCTGCAAATCCGCCTGACCGACGGTAATACCATGATTCAAAGTTTTGGTGCAAAGGAGCCCCTATCCGCTGTAAGGGTTTATATCGAAATGAACAGATCCGATGAGCCAGGCTCATTTTCTCTAATGACAAATTACCCAAAGAAAATTTTTAATGGAGATGATTACGAGAAACCATTGGATTTATTGGGTATAATTTTTTAAATTGATTCTTGTTGGAACATTACTAATTTATTAATTTGTTACAGGACTTGCCCCGACTGCTGTATTAATAGTAAAGAAGATTTAATAAGTGCTTTTAATATATATAAATATCATTCTCTTACTGTTAATTATTTTTTGTACAAAGGGAAGAATTTAATTGCCCTATGTTTATTTTTTTAATTTAAGCTTATTTCTATAATTATTATTACGTTTATTTTACATAAAACTTTTTGTGGCCATTAAATAAAAATATTTCGGATGAAAAATAAGAAATTTCACACAAATGTTATATATAGGCAACATTAATAACTTGATAATAGAATACCAGACAACTTTAGTTGGTTGTGCTTTGCCTAGAAACAATATGTATTTTTGTTTGCATAACAAATTCCTTTTAATTTTATTATTGTTAATCATTTATATTTTTGTGGACATTTTTTTTTGCAGGTATGATTACAACATTGTCTATGTCGCATTTAATAGCATTATATTTGCAAAAATATTTTTCTATTTATTTGGAAACTGTAATAACTTGTAGTGCCTCATTGATATATTGCAAGTTCGAAGTGGGAAACTTCGATATTTAAAAGTCCAATAAAGTTTTCAAAATTTTAAAGTAATCTGAAATCCTAATTGACAGAAAATATGAAATAATAATTAATATATATAATAATATTTTATAATTAATTATTATAAATAATAATTAATATCTTGTCAACGCCAGTCACAGTTGTCTTTTCTTTTTAAAAGAGTATTAATGATAATAAATGTAATGTTGGTTGCAGTCATAAGTTAATTCTAGTTTTTGTCAGAAATGTATTTTCAAACACATTTAAAGTAAATATTATATAAAGTGCAAAGAGTATTATAATTACCTATGTTATGTGTGATGCGTTTAAAATTCTATATCTTATATATAAATATTTAGCCATTTGTAACAACCTTATATAATGTGCTAATAATGTTCAACAATTATAAAATAAAGCTTAAATTATTAAATGAGACATTTTTCAATATTTTTTTGTGATCAATATGAATAAAATTGATAATTCGGTGAACTTACAGTGAATGTTATTTTTTTGTAGGTTGGTATTCCAATATGAAGTAGGACGCACAAAATTTGTTATTTTCTCAATATCAAAGATGGCGAATATGCGTGACAGTGATACGTCCCTGTGGCTACACAATAAATTAGGAACTTCGAATGATTCTTGGACTGGTGGCTCAATATGTTCGCAATTAAACGCCGAAGTGTTACGCAATATAAAAGACTGTTTTCCCGATCTTCAGACGCAGGTCAAACTGAAGTTGCTATTAAGTTTCTTCCACATACCAAGAAGAAATATAGATGAGGTAAGAAAATCATCATTGGATTTAATTGTGACGATAAGTGAATTGATTTTTTAGTGGCGATGTGAGCTGGAACAGATTGTTGATGTTGCTGTGAGTGATTCTGATTTATGGGTCTCGATGCTGGCTGAAGCTTTAAAAACATTTCCGGCCACTGGCAGCCTGAACACAGAAATTGCAGATTTGGATGAAGTAAGACCAATATTCACAAATTTGGTGAATGATCTGAGGCATCTAGTAAAGAAACAGTCCGAACAAGTGATGTTACCCATGGAATGTCATTATTTAAATAAAGCAGCATTAGTGTCTGTGGTAAGTTATATTAATCATATATATTAATACAATACTATTTACAATTCATTTAAGGTAGGGCAGCAGCCATCATCTACAAAACATTTCACATTAAAAAAATCACCTAAATCAGCTATACTTAGATCTGATTTATTGCAAAAGGCTTCGGATGCAGCAAGCAATTTGAAAAAGTCTTCAGCTCCAGTTATACCAGTACGATCTCGAGGTATGCCGCGCAAGATGACGGATACCACCCCTCTGAAAGGTATTCCCAGCAGGCATCCTCCATCTAGTTTTCGATCAAGTCTACTAAGTGGTGGGTTAGGTAACCGACCGCCTATATCGAGACCTCATGCTGGGCGCAAGGAAGGCGGTGTTAAGTTGTTGGATATTGCTGATCAGCCACTAGGCTATGCTGCTGCTAAGAAACGGAAGCGTCAACAGGAGATCGACGATGCTAAGAAGGTGTCTGAAGTGGCGCCCAGCATTACTTCACCAACTAGTACAAATGTTACTCCTGATTATGCCGCTGGACTCACTACGCCGACTTATGCACCTACTGTCACAACTATTGCTTCAACCGGCAGTACAACGACTACCAATGTTATAACCCATACCGCTTCCGCAATTACGACGGTCACAAGTGCCACTACTCTTAAATCTTCTACAGAGAAGGAAACTGCACCTACTATAGTACAAGGGATTAATCCTATGCGTCCAGTGCCTC